GTGTGTGTGTGTGTGTGTGTGTGTGTGTGTGTGTGTATGGGGCATCTTTCCTACGCACACAAATCCACAATGTACATACGCATTCTCTACCTCGGCTCCCATGTTTCATCCTCCCCGCTCTCCCCGTGTTGTGTTTGTTGAGCTCTCAGGCCCAAATCCATTATTACCTCCTGAAATGACAACTCATTTCCACAAATGTAATCCTTTCCCTTGCCTGCGTGAAGCTGTAAAGTAAACACAGTCTTCTCTCCAGAAAGCAGAGAGCAAGGAGAGTAGGGACACGCCACTTCAAATTTGCAAAAGGGAACTCAGAATGGTGAACGGCAGACCTGTGGAGTGAAGATGATAAAGACTAAGAGCATTTGAAGGGATTTATTCCAAAGCACCGCAGCGTCTACAGATATACTATATAAAGTACATACATAAAGCTTGTGGATAGTAGAATTTTCCATCTTGAAGTGTCCACTTTAACAAGAATATTGATCTATTTCAGAGTCTGTGTCATGGTCCCTGGGTCTTGGGCTCACGTTTTTGAAGTTTTTTGTGAGTTCATGGTATGATTTAAGAGTTTGTTTTCAGTCAGAGGGTCCCTCTGCTCCCTCTGTCCTCGTTCTGTCCGTCCATTAGTTGCGTGAAAGTGTGTTTTTCTTTTCCTTCAGTGTGTGTTAAGTTAATCTTGCTCCCCTGTGTAGCTGTGGCTTACTTCCTGTTTTCTTTTGGTAACAGCTGGTCTTTTCTGTCTTGTGTCTAATTTTACTTCCTTTGCCATTTTCTTAATTAGTTTCAGCTGTGTATTTTCGACCCTGGCGTGTCCATTGTATTTAATTACCTCTAGTGTATATAAAGCCTCAGACTCCCCTTCACTCACTGTCAGTGTCTGTGTCTCTTTTCTGTTTGCCATCCCTGTGTGTTTTAGGCTTCTGTTAGAAACATTTTGGATTATGATGGTGGACTTTTGTTTCCTACCTAAAGTTGTGTATATGTGTTTGCGTCTTATTTCTACCAACCTTAGACAAAATGTGGAACACATCTTGAATCTAATCCTATCTGTGTCCAGTGCAGAGCAACTGGTGTGAGACTCGTCGGCCTTTCTTCTCTTTTATCCAGAAAGGACCAATTCTCCTAACGGACTATATTATTCAAATTTAGGGCTGCAGAAATAGTTCTAATAGTAAATTGTCATGGGGCACATCCTCAATTTGTCTAAACAACAGTTCAGACAGAAACCATCAAACGTCCCAGAGGAAAGAGGTTTTATTTTTTTTAGCCAAATGCAGTGTTTCCTACAAAAATATTGTATTTTTGGTGGTAGCAGGTCAAGGGGCACACACAAATGTGCCCACACAACACCCACACTTTCTTAAACAAATTAATAAAGAGGCCAAATACTATATACTAGTACTTTGAGTCAATAAAATACAACAAATAAGCTGCACAGTGAAATTGCTAAACATACAGTAAAGCTCTACTGGAAAACAATGATTGCCATTACTCAAATCATTTTGTGTGAAGTGTGTTGTGCTGTAGGACTTTCTCTTGCTTCATTTAGTTTTATTGCCATTGTAATACTAACAATTTTTGGAACACTTATTAAAACAATTGCAGGTAAAGCTGTAAAGTGAATATTGAAACAGTCAGAACGTAGGTTTAAAAAATATGTTTTTCTAGCAAAATGTAATACGTTTTATGCCATTTATGTGGCATATTAATAATGAGGAAATAAATATACATTTTTAATCTATAGGCTGAAACTTCACCATCACAAAGAATAAATATATTAAGACAAAAAAACAAATTATACAATTGAAAGTGTCATAAAAATATTTGTAATTTGTCATCAAAAGTAAACCACCTGTTTACCCTTCTCCCACAGATATAGACCTTTTTTCAACATTGGTCTGTCCTCTGTGTTCAGACTGTAATTGTCATTTCAAACAACCTGTGAATATGGTTTGGATGGTTAGTTTGTCCTCTGCATGTTGCAAGATGCAATACGATCAACGACATGATAAAATTTTAGAGGGTGTAGTTTAATGCATAGTTCACTGGTTGGTTCATAAAACTCTGAACTCTGTTTATATTCCTTTCCTGATTTGGTGTGGTTTGTATGTGTTTCTTCAAACCTCCACACGGTAGATATGCATGCAGATATTTGGTAACAATACATTATGTGTAAAGGTTTTAGATTTGATGACATTATTGGTAATATGTAATATTGCTATAGTTTTAGACATGTTTGTTTTAGCATCATTGTATGAGCTTTGTAGTATAATGTATGGTCATCACAGATGAAAATCAATGTTCATACACACTACTTCAAATAACTGACTTTGTTTTATTTGCCTGTTGCAAACTTTATGCAATAACTCCATTACAATTTATTAATGTCAAGCCATTTCTTTAAACCTTCTAAGTTGATGATAGTAATTGATAGGCAAACAATAATGACTTGAATTACATATATTTGTAATTCAAGAATTACATTTAAAAGTCAAAATTTATTATTTGCTTAGGCAGTAATTAATACATTAAACTTTGTCATCTATTTTTCATTTTGGCAAAGCCACATTCAGGGCGGTAGTGTTATCATCCAATTCTCCTGATGCTTGGTTCATTAGGAGCGCTGAACTATAGCTGTCTGGTGAGCTGCAGACATGCAGCAAGAACATGCACACTGTCGTGTGTGCCTGCAAAAAGCTTGTACTTTGTCAGCATATTGCAGTTTAACCCAATCTACGTACTGTCAAATGCAGGAGCTTGTTAAAACTCCAACCTGATATTTTTCAGAACACAGCAGATCCATATACTGAGGCATGTGACCCAGTGAAAAGAGCCTAGTGACATGGTCCTTATCTCCAATAGCTATTGCAGGTCTTGCCCCGTTTGGCAGCCTCAGTGAACCTCAGTGTAGGGTAGAAGTGTAGTGTAGGTAGCCGCACATGAACCAGTTCTCACTCACTGCACGCAGTTGTTAAAGTGGTCCTGCAGCTCTGCAGAGCTCCAGCATGAAATGGGATGAGAATTTAGGGGAAATTGATTCCATTATCAATATTACTTATCAATTCAATTCCTTATCAAGGGTTGACGTGCCAGTCTGTGTATGGAAATTAGCACCAACCAAATCAGCATCTGTTCCTTAAATGCCCACTATTTTACACATAACTGATGTAGCAAATTCTGACTTCCAACAAAAAAGAGGGTTTATGTCCTGTTTGGGAGGTTTGCTCACTGCTCAATGCTTCTTTTTGGCTAGGTTAAGGCTGTATTAACTCTACTTGGTCCAGCTTAAAATATGAAAATATAGGCCAATATCCATAATACCGTTCTTTCCAGTGTTAACATTTCAGGATAAAAAAGAAAAAAAAATAACCCTGAGAGGTTTTGACAAAGAGCCCTTTATGCAAAATTTATAATAAGACTGCCCTCAAACTTACTTGGACAGGTGCAACTTGGCACCAGCACCAAAGAACACGTTGAAACAAGAGCTGTACCTGTCACATTTCAGAATGGTAGAGGGAAAAGGCTAAATTAGACTAAATTAGAGATTTTAAGATTAAAGATAAATTGGCTTTGGCTGCCCAGACATATCCAATCAAACCTGTTCTGTATTATATAAAGAGACAATTAAAGGCAGACATGCTTATAGCTTCAACTAAAAGGCAGGCACGCGGGCGCACAAACACACACACACACACACACATACACACACAAGCTACATCAGATAAACAAAAAAAGAGAAAATCAGTCCTCCATCAGCATGCCCACCAATCCATCCCTTACCCTCAGCCACATCATATGTGACTGGTTTAATCGCAGGCCAATCATTGCCAGGTCACAATTAATAAAAGCCACAACAGCCGCAAATAAACAAGTCCAAATTGCTGCCTTAATCGAATGATGCAAACATTGGTGAGTTACAAAAGTTCACTGCCGCCACTGACAATTTCCTAATTGTATTCACTCATTCATGGCAATTTTATTAACATGGAGCGGATGTCTTCTGCCCTTCCACTGTCACAGCACCAGGGATCTAATTTCATTATTTTCCACAAGATTTGCTTGACTACTGCCGCCATGCTAGTGGCGCACCACGGCCAGATGTTTATGCTATTTAAATGAGGAAGCAAAGCCTGTTGGGTAAACATAATTAAAGAAAGTTGAAGCTTTGTCTTTTTTTTAACTTCTCTTCCTTGCCCTCTCTTTGTCTCCCTATCTCTCCTCCAAAGTCTCTCTCTCTCTCTTTCTTTCCTAACTTTTACTTCATTAGACAAATTTCAATTAACATCAGAGCCACATGTTTCTCTGAGCAGGAGAACGAGAGCTGCACGGAAAGGTGGGCATGCAGACAAGTGTAACACAGTGGACAGTGCACACACAATGTATGCACAGATGCTTTAGCCTACAATTAACATGCAAATATGCTAATTTTGTGCACAAAAACACAAACACAAGTGAGTGTTTTCTTCGCTGACCGCTTGTTAAAGCGAACCTGGTGACTGGGAAGCTCTTGAATCATTCACAACTCTATTCCTACCTGTGCACCTGATGAATCCAAACACGGTTGACCTGTGGCCACCTCTGCGGGTGTGTGTTTATTAAAATCATCACCCAGCACAGCCCAATCACACAGGCATTACTGCCCACGCCTGTTGCATGCTAAATAGGAGGAGAGACAGAGAGAGAGAAAGAGAGAGGGTAAATTAAATCACTCATGTCATGGTGCTAATAGGCCAGGCTTGCGCTCTGTGTAATTCCAGGCTGGAGCTACAAAAATAAGTTGGGTTAAAAAAAAAAACACAGAGCAAGAACATTCTATTAGGGCCAATATCACAGACACTGTGTTACAAGGGGTCATTACAAGATTATGTAAACCAAGAGAGCACATTTCCATGCCGTGGTCATTTACATGTGATTATTGCATCAGAGTTATGCAGCGATTATACGGGGCTCGCCTCAGACATGCCAAGCCATATACACACGGGCTCAGGCTGTGCACACACACGCACACACACAGACACACACACACACACACACTAAATTATGTCAAGATTATAGAAGGGGCTTGATCTTGAAAATAAAAGCAAACTCACAACAGCACCTGTCTGTGGCCTCTCTGTTTAGACTGAGGATTTATCCGCTGATGTCCCATGTTGCGGCATGAATCCAGGGACACCCTGCTCATAAAAGCCTTCATTTGAACTACCGTAAGCAGAAGAATTCATTTACCCCGTTTGATAGAAAACATCCTATCCGCCGCCTGCATTACTGCCCCAGTATTGCTGGGGCTTCATGGCTCAAAAATGCTTTGGCGCTCCAGTCATACAAGCACTTTTTAAGTATGCAGCACGCAGCACATTCGATACCCTTTAGTGCACACGAACTGAGTAGCTGTCAAAAATACAACAGGCATCTCAAGTAATTATGCAGATTTATGCAAAACATTAACAAGAAGAATTAAAGGCACAAATGAGGTGGCTACACTTGAATTGTTAAGATTATGAATAATTACCATGAATCTTTTTGCTCTTAATATAACTTGTTTTTGATAAACAAAGCCTTAATTATCGGAATACTTTGGAGGATTCTGGTGACCTTCATTAATCTTAGACAACAAGTCTCCGGTGAGACTTGAGATGAGGCCTGTGTACGTGCGTGTGCACGCACACACGCATGTGCACACACATATAGGGTAAACACGCATGCATGGCGGCGCATATGCTAACTAGCCACTTCAGCCCTGGAGCAAGCAGACAGACAGGTACACCTCCTAGTTAAGCCAAGAGAGCTCCTCACACTCCCCGGTGTGTCCCAGTATGGTAAGCCAGGAGGACAGATGCACAGGCGCACACATGAAGCAGGTGACTCAGATGCTCCTTTGAGAATTGGCAGCACCAGGTCCTTCACTAATTACAATTACATCTCACTTCCCTCCCCTTTCCACTTTCCTCTAACTTTGGACATGAATATTCCAGCAGAGCCATTGTGCATTGGACACGCTGCTCAATATGTCCCATAATTAAAAGCATGATGTGCGAGATGAAAATACTAAGGGCGCCCAACTCTACTCGCAGCTCGCTGTCCCCGAGAGAACAGAGAGCAAGAGATTTTGATTTTTTTTTTCAGTGCCCAAAATCATATGCTAGAAAAATGGTTTTTTGTATTTTCAAATTATTTTGAATTATTTTACTGAAAAACTTGAAGCAACAGGAGGAAGACAAATTTACGTACAGTGCTATGAAAAAGTGTGAAAATTTGCCCCATTACTGCTGTTTAAATTTCCTGCATATTTGTCACACTCACGTTTCAGGGAATCAAACTTTAACATTAAACAAGGATGACCTGAGAAAAGACAATATATAGTTTTTAAATGATGACTTCATTTATTGGGGACCTACATGTTCCCATGTGAAAAAGTAATAGCTCCTAAAAATAATAACTGATTGTACCAACTTTTGCAGTTAAAAACTGCAATCAAGCATACCTGGCAGCAAGTCTTTCACATTGCTCATCCCACTCTTCTTTGCAGAGTTGTTTTAAAGGATGATCTGAAAGGTCGTGCCAACCATTATTTTGTTTTTCTTTAGCCATTCACCATAAATGGTAAATGGATGTATGAATGGTAAATGCTTCTTATATAGCGCTTTATACAACTTGCCTCATTCACCCATTCGCACTTTTTTTCTATTCTCTATGTAAATGCTTCTGTCTACCATTCACACACTTTTATACTCTGATGGATGCATCACAGAGCAACTTGGGGTTAGTATCTTGCCCAAGGATATTGGGCATGCAGACCGGAGCAGACAAGGATCATACCACCAACCTTCCCATTAGTTGGTGACCTGCTCTACCACCTCGGCTACAGCCTTCCTAAGCAAAGGCGGTGGGCTTGCTTACTGCATTTCAGGTCATTGCCCTGGTGCGTAACCCAAATGTATCTGACCTTCAGGGAACACATTCTGATTCAATAATTTCTAGTAGATAGCAGAGTTCATGGTAACATCAATTATAATAAGTCGTCCAGGCCCTGAAGCAGCACGTCAGCTCCAGACCATCACACTGCCACCACCATGTTGAAATGCTGTGTTAGTTTTATGTCAGATGTAACAGGAACAAACCTTCCAAAAGTTCACCTTTTAGAAGGTTTGTGTGCAAAACTACTCCACTGCTTTCCTCTGACATGTGAACAAGACCCCGAGACACTTTGATTTGTTTACTTACGGCAGCAGCTGATCCCCGAACAGGGACAACGTTTTTATACCTACCCCTTCACACACTGCTGAAAACTGCCCCAGCATGCTCTACCTAACAAAGCCAACAGACCCACAATATCTGGAAAAAGAGATGATATCTTGAGGCCAGCAAAGTGGAAACCTACAGCTACTTGGCTTTGCTTTGAAGTTCTTGGAAGCCACTTGGCTACACTTAGAATAAGTGACAAAGGCTTTCTTCACTTCTGGTGTCATGACATAGCTGTCATGGTGGGAATTACCACCATTCACCTTGCATCCTCGGTGCTGCAAAGTTCTGCCAGCAATGGAAGATCTTAGACCAGGACCTCTGCTGGGTGCTCCCAGTGTATCATTATATATTGGGCATGATGGGCCTCTTCAGCATCCTCACTGGTCACCTAATCCAACCCACCACCAGGTGGTGATCGTTTAACAGCTCAGCTCCTCTCTTCAACCAAGTGTTCATGACACATGACCACAGATCTGATGATACAATTACAAAACCAACAGGCAACCGAAAGTATCCAAGTATCACATGCACTTATGGTCAAATATGATTTTTATGGACATACTGAGAATTCCAATAACAGAACAACACTCAGGTTCAGATCTTGCAGGCTGTTCCTTCCAGTAATACCACTCCACGTCTGATTCACATTGCCAACGTAAGTGTGGAAATCTCCCAGTAGGACAATGGAATCTCCTGATGGGGCACAACCAAACCCAATGATCAAAGGAGGCTGAAACCTCAAATGTAAACGACAGTAGGGTAAAAAAACCAAACAAACAAAAACCCTGTCACGGGGAAGCAAACCTCAAACTCTGAGGATTGCATTGGCTCCAAACCCTGTTTCATCCTGGTTGTAGCCATGGTTCAATTGGGATAAAGTCCAACCTTACCCCTAATCTGTTAGGGCCATAGTTAGGTTCATGTCAAAGATCAAGACATATGACACCTGTCCTACTCAGTGACCACTACAACATTATTTATTTCTTTATGAGTTCCTCAGAAAGGTTCTTTGTCCCTCTTGGAAAGTTTCTGACCAGGAAGCAAGAAGAGAGAGGCGATATAAGCCTAAAGATTAAAGTCATTTTACGTAGGGTTGGATACGTTAACTAAGTTAGACAAATGCTAGATTTTAGCAAGTAGCATGATCCTGAGGTTCAGCTCTATCAAATTCCAGAACCACTAAAACTAAATATGTTACGGCACTGACAGTACAAAGGCAGAAAACAATTATTTTTTTGTGCATGTTATAAATCACATTGTACCAACTTTGGGTTTGGCTTTAGAACTCTGCTAATGCGCCAATGAATATATAATCATCAATAATGTAATCAGCATTTAATACTATGCATATCTAATAATATGAGATTAGGTTTGATTATCTCGTGTGTTAATCATAGCAAGTGATGACTCTGCAACTTCTGGTGCTTCAACAATTAGGTCTGATCCCAAGGGTGTCTAACACCCAGGGGTGCTGCCAATCAAATCTCTGTTGATTGTTTTGGTTTAGTATCTATATTGTTTCTATTTATTCCCATCTACCTAATGAAATGCACACACACGTCTAAACACAAACACACACTTTCTCATAAGAAACCACAAAGAAAAGCTTGCTACACACACATGCTGTTTAAATATCATTTGGCCAAGTTAAGCACAGAAAACTCTCGTTCTCTTTCTGATCTATCACAGCTGACTTTGGGTAAGAGATGGGATACACTCTGAGCAGGCTGCCTGACACAGCGCAAACAGAGGCTGAAAACACATAGATGATGGATGAATCAATAAACCCCAGTTCTTTTTTGTCTGGTTGAGCTTTTCCAATGTTTTTTCTACAGAAAGTTTAACTTCCAGTTCAATGTTTTTAATTCTAAACAAACATAGTTTTAGACACTAGAAAATGATAGATATTAAACCAGCTTTCCCAGAACCGTTCTGGCCTTACAGTTCTTCTCATCTAAGAATTCCTTTTGGCTTGTCATACAGGCGATAAATCCATACAGTGAGGCAAAAAAGTATTTAGCCAGCCACCGATTGTGCAAGTTCCCCCACCTAAAATGATGACAGAGGTCAGTAATTTGCACCAGAGGTACACTTCAACTGTGAGAGACAGAATGTGAAAAAAAAATCCATGAATCCACATGGTAGGATTTGTAAAGAATTTATTCGTAAATCAGGGTGGAAAATAAGTATTTGGTCAATAACAAAAATACAACTCAATACTTTGTAACATAACCTTTGTTGGCAATAACAGAGGTCAAACGTTTACTATAGGTCTTTACCAGGTTTGCACACACAGTAGCTGGTATTTTGGCCCATTCCTCCATGCAGATCTTCTCGAGAGCAGTGATGTTTTGGGGCTGTCGCCGAGCAACACGGACTTTCAACTCCCGCCACAGATTTTCTATGGGGTTGAG